CGCCCGGCCTCGCCAATCGGCCACCAGGAGTGAGCCGGTACATACATGAGCGCCCAGCCCCAGACAACAAGGGCCACCTTACATTTTAACCACACAATAATTTTAAGGACGCAGGTTGTAATGCTGAGTGGACTAAGTGCTGCATCCTAAACCATAATTACACAATAATTTAAGCTGTGTGAGCAATATTATAAAGTGAACTAACCAGCCCACGACTGCAGAGTTGTAGCTCAAATTTAAGGCTCAATTTGATGAAAATTACAATAGAATTTAAATTTATAGGCTGTATTATAAAGCTCTTCCGATTAAAAAGGGAATTTTTTTTGCTCCCGAGTCACAGGGGCCCAAGCTCAGATGGAAAACTGTCCAATAAAATATTTATTTTCCTTTTGCTAATCGTGTACACTGACTATTAAAGAAGGGGACAATTTATTATTTATTTCTTTATGAGTGCGCAATTAAAAACTCAGCATCTGTGGTGGCATGAGGGTGCATTGGTGTACATGGCATTAATGAGTAACTCTAACATCTTTGAAGGCACCATTATTCATGAATAATATATATACCGTTTTGGGGCACCATATGTTGTCATCTGGAAATTAAAGGCAATGCCAAACCATGCTGAGAATGTATAGTTCTGGAGCAAGAGTTGGGTGCTCAGCTTTCACACCTGTAACTCACACCTGTCACCCAGTAAAAAATCTGGACATTATGACTAAAAACAGGAGAAAAGAGGCTTTAAACTGTTAAGCAACTTCTCTCCTGAGTTCCCAAATGCTAACAGAGGGGTGTTAAAGGAAAATGTGATCACATGTTCAAAGTGACCGTGTGTAAAACACAACAAAATAAAACACAAAACAAAAGAAATATCATTCTTACCATTGATTTGTTTGCTATTTTGCACTAGATGCCTGGTGCTTGATTTTGTACACCTGAGGGAACAGAACTGGAAATAACTGAAGAGGCCTGGTCCAGTAATTGTGACCACATAATGTACCTGTGTTATCATGCCAGATGCGAATTTTCCAGACTTCTCCCATGTTGTCATCTGTCTCCACATGAAACTGGTCCAGGCTGCCACGCTGGAAAGCTCCATCCCTCTGCAGATGGTGCGAGCCACTCTTTTTCAGACCATACAAACTAATGCCAACGTGTGCCGTAGTTCCTGAAGGGTAGCACCACAGAAACAATCACTTTCCATTTAATTTTAAAGCATTTAAACAGGACAATTCAGCCATTACATGTAATGTTTGGCTTTTCATTTTCTGTCTCTTTAATGTCTTGTCTTTGGCTGACCTGCCCCGGGCCTCCAGCCAGTCTTTACCAGCACTCTGTAGTGGTACAGCCCGGGTCGCCCACACAGTGGTACCTGACTCAGTCTCAGGCTGTCTAAGTGGTCCAGTTTGTGGGCAATGAGCCCCACCAGCAGGTGAATCAAAACCAGGGCAGCACAGATAATCCCTACCACCATGTTCCTCACAGGTTCTCCTGACTGCAGATTTGAATAGGGGGAGAAGGAAAAGAGCAAAAATCATGCATTTATTTTATTTTAAAATATCTACATCTGCTGTAATCCTCTGTGTTCTCACGTACAGGTGGTAGCAAAACAACAGCCCCTGGATGAACAAACAAACTGGCCCCAAACATGGTGAGGTGCTGGGTGAGACATAGCGCTGTGTGGAGTGTGCTGCCCTCCAGTGGTCGAAGACCTTCCTGGCTCCAACGCCTCTCCTTCACATTGTAGTACTGGCACAGAGAGCTGAACACGCACACCGACACATTGACTGGACCGCCGTTGACCAGAGATGAACTCAGGTTGACAGAAAGAGGCGTATCTGTCCCATTCAGACTGTTGTAAAGGAAAATTAATTCATGTGAAGGTCATCTTTATTCATCAAAATGAGCAATTAGAGCAGTGAGTTGCAGAAGAGAGCCGTGACTCACAGGGGAGACAGAAAAATGGTTTCTTCCTAGGAGCTGGCCAGATGAGAGAGTGTAAGAGCCCACTCTCTCATCAGGGAATCCTGGGATGCATTAGTCCTCGGCACTGCAGAGCTCGCTTCAATCTTGACATGTCCTACAGGCAGTGGAGTTGCTCCTAGTGGTGGATAATGTAGTTTAAAAGCAGTAATTGTATTAATAATAGCACAAACATATATTGCAGGTTTAATAAATAATTATGTACAAGAGGCACTACATGGTTGGTCCTGAAAGACACCTCCTATCCTGAAATGTGTACACTCATGTTATTAGTACATTTATTAATGAAAATGCATTCATACTTTGTAAGTATAGTAGTCATTGCATTGTTCGGGACTGACATAAGTAACAGCAACACACTGATTATTTTTAAACAGTATTATTTTATTTATCTAAAAAGATAAAAAGCTATTCCCTGACTGTGATGTTTGCCCCCTGAGGTAGTCACTATGGACTGTAATAAACTGACTAAAAACTAGAATCATGCACAACAGACGTATCGTGCTATTCTTTCTTTTTTTGTTTTGCATATTTGTCACACTTCAATGTTTACAACAAATTTTAGCATTAGACAAAGATAACCTGTAAAGATACAAAATAGCTGTTTTTTTTAAAAAAACTTTGTAAATCTACCTTGCCCTATTTGAAAAAGTGGGATGATGTGAGACATTATTCAGAAATGGAAGAAACTGAATAGTGGTGAATGTTCTCAGGAGTGGCCGATCTACTAAAATTAGTTCTAGAGCACATCACTGACTCATCCAGGAGTCACAAAAGAACCCAGAACAACATCTAGCAGCTGCAGGTCTCCGTTAAGGTCAGAGTTCAAGATTTAATAATAAGAAAGAGACTGGGCAAAGATGGCATGGGGGAGGTCCATGGCAAAAAACATGGAAAACATCCTGATGATCCCCAAGACTTTTGGGGAAAATACAGTTGAACTTTTTGGAAGGTTTGATTCCTGTTGCATCTGTTTTCATTTCATAAAAGACCTTCATACCAACAGTCAAACATGGTGGTGGTACTGATGGATTCTCCTCTCATGTCCAGCCACCAGTTCATATCCTGAATCTTAAATTTACTTGTGTATGCAGTAGGATGATAAAAACACACCAGCAAGTCGACTTCTGAATGTCTAAAAATCCACGCAAAAAGTCACAAATCTTGCTGAATTAAAACAATTCTGCAAGGAAGAGTGGGTCAAAATTGCTCCACATCGATGTAAAAGACTCACTGCCAGTTATTTCAAATACTTGATTGCACTTGCTGCCAAGTATAATTAGTTTTAGAGTGCAATTATAACCAGAACCAGGTTTGGATAACTTCTTTCTCTTAATAAATGATATCGCTATTTACTAAAGTAAAGACATAATTTAAATCTTTGTCTAATATTATGATTTGGCTTCTTATATGAAATGTATAGGTTTGATAAAATGTGTAATGTGTAAAAAATATTGTGTAAGAAAGGGGGCAAATATATATTTTTATAGCACAGTAGCTTTGGGTCTGAAAAGCTCTAAACCTGTATATTATTTAGCAGCCACCAGGAGGCTGCAAAAGGCTGTTTGGTCCTTTTGAAGTATATAAGAAAATTCCCTTGGCGTTGTATCCATTTTGGGTTATATGAATAAAATATTTAATCCATTTTATAAATTTAGGTCATAGTACCAGAAAGAATGACTATCCTGGCTAGAGTTAAACACTCTCACCCACATAGCAAAATTGGTATGGCCCGGATCTGTCCCACACAATGTGCTTACACATGGCCCACATACCGCAAAGCATGACGGCCCTTTGGTGGCTCAGATCTGGTTTGCCAGAGGTGGCCCACACATGGGCCAGCACAAGACCAGTTTCAGACACACTGGTGGTCCTGTGCTGGCCCACCCTAACCCTAACCCCTAACCCTAAGGATCTAGTTCTTAAATAGATCCTGTGCTGGATCTATTTAAGAACTAAATGGATATTAACCAGCAGTGCCAGCTTGATACCAGATCCGGGCCAGACCTGCTTGCTATGTGGGTTGGCTAAGGTTTGTGATAGTTAGCTAATAAGTGTATGGATTTTTGCACTGAGATCCTGGCTACTAGCTCGGCACATCTGGTTTCAAAACACAAGAATAGTGATGATGACATTGCTCATCTCAAGGCTTCAGACTAGAGCACTTATTTACACCTATTTTTCCTTGTTTAAAAACATAAATGCATCCTGGTAATCAAGATAGCTAGTTAGCGCAAGCATTAGCTGATAGCTCTCCAGCTCACTCTTCTTTACCTGGTAAATGTATTTATTTATAAACAACAGCCCAGGATGTTAAACAGTTATATCAGCCTTGCGAGTATTTTATGAAAAGAAGAGGTTAATGTCTTTGAAATCAGACCTAAAAAACACACAATGTTCTAAACTCAATATGAACTTTTGTAACTGTGTTTGCAAGAAAACCCCACAGAGCTCCATTAAGTATCAGGCTATAAAAGCAATGAGCTGTGATATGCTTAAGGACCCCATAGAGTTTAGGAACTGTGTATTGACTTAATAAGAGGCTTTAAACTAAGAAATAGTAGCTTTTGTGTTAATATTTGTAATGGGTATTTAGCTAAAAAGTCTACACTCATGAAAACAGAAACAAGAAACAAATCTGGAGCAGGACAGACCCAGAGTAAGAAAAAAATAAAGAAACTGTACCTGGCACCAAGGTGAACTTGAAGGCAATATATAAACCTGCATTTTCATCCAGGCTATCTGGAACTTTTACTGTGAAGTTCAGCTGTCCTTTAGTCGGTAGTGTTACAGTAAGACATGTCCCATTCCCATCTTCACCTACTCTCTCATTTCCATGATCCAACGAGTACTTATTTGGCAGGGCGACCTGAATGGCTTGTTCAGGGTCCAAACCCACAATGGGTATGGGCTGACCCTGAGGAGTGCTGAGCTCCATGGCCACAAGAGTGGTGGAAATTGGAGGATTGGCTCCTTCCAGTAAAGCGTTTTCATCCAGTAGTTTATCCAAACCAAACAACACCTGCACCACCTCAGACTCTGTATTCTCCAGATGAGCTATCAGGGAGGAGGGCATAGTAAACTGACAATGATGAAAAGCCTTAGATTTGTCAGGAAATGATGACTGCCTCGTTATCTGGTTTGACTGGCAGAGGAGATCAGAAGGGTCTCCTTGGAAACCCACTGAGGTGATATAGTTGGTGGACAGCAAAAAAGGCACCTCGCCAGAAACATATGAACGCATCAGTGTGCGCATTAGAGCTTCAGCATGACTCAGTGCTGACAGGGAGATTACTGATGCTCCCTGCAGAGTTCCCGAGTAGACTGGGTAAAAACCACTGGAGGATTCAGACGCGGCTGCCAGAGTACTACCTGGAAACACATAAAAATATGGTAAATTTCATGTCAGTACTGTTAGGATGCCTGGGTCGTCGACCCAGGGTTTTTGAGTTTATGATATTATTTATACTGTCTAGTTTTTGGTTTCTTTGAGTTCTGTCTTATGGCTTAGGTCTCTGTCTTCTTTAGTTGCTCTGTCTCCCCTATCACCTGCATCCCCTTGTCTAGTTCGCGTCTATGTGTATCTTAAGTTCCTATATCCCCGTGTTCAGTCAGTGTTTGTGTCTGCCCTGTTCCCACGTCTCTGTTCCCTTTGTAGTGCCTGCTTATGAGCCTGTGTCTTTGTTCAGTCTGTGTTATGTGTTTCCTGTTTTACTTTGAAAGTCCATGTCTGATGTTAATGTGTCTGGTTTTGCTTCCTCTTGTCTCGTTAGGCCTGATTTGCCCCAGCTGTGTTTCCCTCCTGTTACCCATTCCCTGATTGCTCCCTCTGTGTATTTAAGCCCTGTGTTTCTTAGTGTCTGTGTCGTGATCTACCGTTTACTTTGCTGTGTGTTTTGTCAATCCGCGGGTGTTTTGTATTTTTTACCTTTTTCCAGTTATGTTATGTTTGCGTTCAGCATTAAAGCTGTTTTGGTTTAAGTTCTGTCTCCGGAGTCTGCACCTTGGGTCCTATTCCTGTCTGCACACAGCCACACCTAACAAGTACATGACTATTTCATGCAGGAGATGGTGGTTGGCCAGCACCTATAACATTAAGGATGTTTCTTCCTGTATCTGCGGCTGACAAAACGGCAGGATCCGTCTCTTTCTCTATTACATGGATCATCTTCCCCACAGTTTCCAAAACTTTCTTCTGAGAGGTTTCACGTACCAACTCACTGGGAACAGCCTGGAATAAAGAAAACATGCAATGTCAATGCAAGCAAAAAAGAAAAAGAAGACGACTATGCTTCTGTTGGGATTAAATAATTTGCAGTGCCTCAGTAATGCTATGCTTTTTAATAATAAGTGTATAATAAGTGTATATAGTGTAGTATTAAGTGGACACAGCCCTGAAAAATAAAGGCATTAGACCATTGGAGAGTAGAAAGCTGCAGACTCTCACTCACGCTTGCCTGGGAAAATGTAGATAAGAGGGGACCATCTCTAGTGGAAAGTTACTGAGACGCTGTTGTTTAGACTAGAATGAGAGAGCTTCTGTAATAAAACTGTTAGGGGCACACCACCATTTTGAGATCCGCGGCAACGTGTCATGCAGGACGCATCTCCCTTCTAGAAGTAATAAAGTGTTAAATGGTCTACTGAGCAGTGTTTTGTCTTCCATCGGATGCCTCTGAGGAATCAGTGTTGATATTTACACTTCACATAGTACATAAAACATAAAAGTCATGCTCTTGTTACTAAATCTATAATTATGATCCAGTAATATAATGTAAAAGGCTGAATTTCTGCATAATAAGTAGGTACGTAATTTTTTTTTTTTTTTTGCATTGTAGTATTGCTACTTTTGTCATGAACCCCCCACAGCAAGATACCGAAGCCCAAAGTTGCTCCATTTCACGTCTGTGAGCTAAATTAAGCTTGCAGTGGGGGAGTGGTGCTGACCTTTTCCTTCAATTCTCTACCAGAAAGCCAAGTAAATTTTTCCAAAATGTCAAACTGTTGCTTCTTCACCTCAAGCTCACAGTTATTGTCTGGGCATTGTCTGTGGGTTCCTTACCACAGACTGCGACAGTGTCGCACTGATCTGATCAACATCTAGTAAGGTGGACACAGGGAGAGAGGCGAGAGCTTCTGTTACATTTTCTCGGATCTCCCTCCTATCCATGAGTTCCTCAGCAGTCCACTCAAAGTCCATCTGGTGAAAGGAGTGAAGTGCAGACTCAGGATTCAAAGTAACAAATAATAGTCAAACTTTATTACAAAAGTAGTAGCTACAGGCCAGAAAAGGAAATCAATAAGAGGTAATCCAAGTATAATCGTTTTCCAAAAGGGAACCAATAGGACACAGGAATACAGAGATTTGATTTTCAAGAACATCGAAATACATAATGAGTGGCAGGGCAATCGGGATGTTGGGTACAAGAAGGCATCAAGACACGGTGTAAAGACCATTCACCCAGGAGAGCTCAAAGCACCAGAGTCACATGATTGCCAAAGAAGAAAAGGAAATGAATGATCACTGAAACATGAATTAACTTGACAGAGGGAAAACACAGAAGGAAACACTGAGGGGACTAATAGAATTTTAATCTTATAATCTAAACTAAAACTCCAAAAAAAAGCTCAAGAAAAAATCTCTAATACCAAAATCCACAGACCATGACACATGCACTGGAATATGAACATTTTTCATTGATACACTACCTGATTGAGCTTGCTGGTGAGGGCAATGCAATACGGGATGATTTCTTGAGGGTTACCATGTTGGACCAAAGCCCACAGTTCAGTCTGGCTCTTGTTTCTGAGCCACTGACTGGCAGCTTCATTGACTGCAGGATTTTCCACTGTTAGTGTTCTTGGGAATGCAGAAATGCAGGGCCACATCAGTTCAGTGCATTAAACTTTACAGACACTGGGCCTGAGATGTATTATTCATAAAGAATTCTCTTAGATTTTAACTAACACGACTTCTCACCTGTTCAAAGCCACAGACTTTGCCCCAGAATGGTTCTCTACAAGCAGAATGACTCTGATAACTGACACGGTTTCTCTTTGTCCAGGACTTCCCACTGGGACCAGCGTGCTGAACGTTGACTGTGTCCCCCTTGGGAGAAAAATTCACACAATCCAAACTATAACTTTGTGTTATGAAAGGCTTAATTTTAAAGGAATAACTAAGCCTGCATGTACTTGGATGTCTATTAATAACTGCAAGCTGAGGCCATTTACCTATAAAGTGTGAGCACAGGGCACACAGTGCTAATGAGCTGACATAATGCCACCTGGAAGGTATAGATCAACTGAGAGACTCTGCTTTCATCATCTTGCCATCCTATCCCAGAGAGAGCAGATGTTAGACACAACCATAAACAACAACGTACATTAAAGTCCAGCTGTGTGATTTTAACTTGTTTTTTCATTAAATTTGTCAGCTGGGTTGAAAAGTGTGGAAAAAACAAACATTTACACTTTTAACCTGTCAGATGAAAACATCAATGCAAATTAGATTGTGTAGCCCTGTCGTTTTATAACTTAGTGATACCTGAACAGTTGTAGGTGACCTTTGTCTCCAGTAGTTGTATGTCTGACTCTGGACTCAGATCACACAGGCCGCCATGTGGTGGATTGTTTGTTTGTATCATCAAGACGGCACTGCCCCGTTCCCCACTGTGAGGCTGGGCTACATCTAGGGCAAAGTAATAACTCTGTCCTGGCTGAAGGATGCCTGATCGCACCACCAAGCTGCGAGAATATTTCCCTTTAGTGGTGACCTCATCAAGGACAAGGGACAGACCACTTTGGTCATGAGCTCTCCATTTGTACTGTAGAAGACACGTTCATGAATCACAGTAATAACAAAATATATAGGCATATTTATATATTTCCCAATTTAAAAATAATCAGCCAGTCATTACTTTAATTTATCTACTAAAGAAATAATTAAATACAACCTCACACAATATTTCTTTTGCATTTAATTTGACAATAGTTACCTGTGCCTGGTCATCACATTGTCCACAACGTCCAGAAAGGATAACGGGGGCGTTGTAACTGATGTGGTTAGCAGATGAGCGAACAGAACAGGATACACATTCTATAGTCACAGGAAGCAAGTGAGCGTCACTGACAGTTACCTGAAAGAAATAAGACATAAGACAAGGTTTGATGGTCATTCAGCCCAGTAGCTTCTTCCCTCAGTGACAAGTTCATCCATACCTGCTTATATCTCCAAAATCATCTGATTGCAAGCAATATTCAACATAACTCCATACCGTTTGATTAACAGAGGAAGGTCTCCTTCCTTCCTTGTGCACAGTAAGGGTGAAAATGTAGATTGTGCCAGGGTGTAGATGATTGCTTTGTATAGTCATCCTACTGCTGGTCCACCCGATGGGCTGCTTTACAAAAGAGGACTCTTTGGAGTTCTGCAAATTGTTGTTATAGTTAGACACAGAATGAATGCAACACAATAGAAATCTTAAACATCTAAAGCTGCCTACCATTGCCATGCAGCTCCAGTGATACTGAAGGGCATCTTCTACTCCTGGCTCAATATCAGGGTCATAAGAGTCAGACCCATCAAGGACAAGGTTGTTTAAGCTGGACCACCATCTGTGGGAGCCTCCCTTGATGAGAGCTACTAATGGTGAGTGGACCACTGTGATGTTAGTCTTCAGTTTGAGGAGGATAGGAGTTTCCTGGAATGAAAGTGTGAATACCAGGCAGTAGCTCCCTACATTAAGCACATGCTTTGGGATTGAGAGAAAAGGTGTTGCATCCTCCAGATTTTGGAGAATGACTTTGTTTCCGGAAATATCAGTGTTGCCATAGGCACAGTCTGACTCGGTGAATACCTCCCACAGATAGAGAGTCTTGTAAGAAGAGCAATTAATATTCATACTTGCTTCAAAGAAACTTGTTCTAGACCTAAATATAGTAGACTGGCTTTGGACCAGGGAGGCCTGTGGGCTGGAACATTGAAGATCCTCCACCTCTATGTGTAGCTGTGAGGACACATTGCTGACACTGTTGAAAACTGTGACCATAACTTTGTATTTGTCTGTGTTATAATAAGTGTGGTTAACAGCACTTGACTCTGTCACTAATAATTCCTTGGACTCTCCAAAGTCCCACACATATTTAATATTGCTTCCTTTGCCCACTGTTGCAGAAAATCGGACAGGATGTTCAACAAATATTTTCTTTGAATGACAGACGAGCTTTACTTTCCTAACAGGCCACTCGACTGTAGCAGTCAGGTTTACTGTCTGAGAGCATTGTCCATTGCTGGCTGACACACTAACAAACAATGAACCACTATCCAAAGGAGTAAAGATGACTTCTTTTCCCATGAGCCAAGTGGGCCTTGACCTTTCCAAGTGAAACATCCAGGTGTAGTTGACTGGAAATCCACTTTGAACCTCTGCTTTGAATTGGGTTCCTTTCTGAGCTTCTAGAGTAGTAGAACAACAGTTTACAAGTTGCAAACCTTGAACTTGCTCAGTGATTAGAATGCTAGAGGACGCCTTTGCACTACTGACCTGGTTGAAAGCTTGAACTGTAACTATGTGTCTCCCGACTGGAAGACTTGATGTGGTGTATTGGCCCTCAAAAATATCATGACTTAGAGTCCAGTGTTTGTTTTGGAAAGTTATAAGAAAGCTTACATTGCTTCCTTTGGAGATTGTTGGAATAAATGTTACTTGTTTGTTACTACAGAAGGAGGACTTGCTATTGCCCAGCACAAGACCTTTGATTGCATCCTGGACTCTGACATTGTGTGAAACCATCTGCCAACTTATCTCATTGGAAACATTCAGATACACCTGGTAGGTGCCTGCATGTGGAAATCTGTAGATAAATGTTTGACTGGTTGAGGTGAAAATGTTCTGTTTAGAAGTTCTAGCTTTCCAGTCCCAATGCAGATCATTACCCTTGTGAATAAACCCATGAAAGGAAAGAGTAGCACTTGCATTGACATAAAATGGATGTGTCTTGTTGTCAATTTGAAAGTCTACATCTTGGACTTCTTCCTGAACCAAAAACGGTTTGGTGTTGTTACTCTGGCTAACAGCGTTCCAAACTACAACTGTGACAAGATAAGAACCCAGACTTGGAAAAGTGTAAAGCAGAAAAGGTTCCTGTGTCTGAAGGGGTAAAAGGTTAGCATTCATATGCCAAAGATATTGTAAGTCTGATCCGGTATCCACAAAAACAGAGATATTCACTACTTTCTTCCATGCCACAAAGTTTGACTGTACTGTTATGACTGCATTTTTTACACGTTCAACTACTACTAAAGAAACACTCTTGGTAACCTCACCCAACACATTGGAGGCTCTAAGCTGAACTGAAAGATTACCAGGTGTTCCAGGTAACAAATGAAAAAGTTCTCCTTCACCTGCAATTTGTTGGGTTGTTTCACTCTGTCTGGCAAGCCAATGGAAAGTAATGTTGGAGCCTTTGGTGACTGAAGTAGTAAACAACACTTCCTCATGAGTTGGTATATACTTCTCATTTATCAGGATTTGACATTCAATCTGAAGTCCCTCTATTCTTTCAAATGCCTCAATTAAAATATCTGCCTCTCTTTTACTCAATAGATTCTGTTCTATAGCGCTTACTCGATACACTCCTGGTCTCGGGAAAGCAAATCTAAACTCATGAGTTCCCTGACTGGTTAAAGATATGCCTTCTACTGTCCAAAAGTAGCTGGCACTGCTAATTCCAGCACTGCTAACTGCTGTGATGACAGTTTCCTCTCCTACCACAGAATAAGGGTGGCTGGTGTGAAGTGAAAGGTCTGAAACAGGGAGTAATACGTTCACTGTGAGGGTTGTAGAGTCCCGGCTAACAGCGTTAAATGCTATTGCAGTGACTGTGAACTGACCCAACAGAGTAAAGACATGTGAGACGTTATGTTTCTGCTCCGCTGGTGACCCATCTCCAAAGTTCCACAGCACTGACACATTGGTGCCAGCACAACTGCCAATCCAAAATGATGCTACTGTATTGACAATCAGTGCATCACTTTGGCTATTGTGCCTAATAGAAAGTCCGCTCACTGGTTTTTGAATGGTAATGTTAACTTTGGCTGTTTTGCTGCTGACTTTGTTACTTGCTGTTACTGACACCTCTTCAACACCTTCATCTCCAAAGACAAAACACCTCTCAGAGTTTTCAGTTACAGCAGCAAGATCATAGGAGTTACTAAACCATTTGAACTGGTAACCCATCATCTGTTCAGGGGACACTAACACACCAAAGCATATTTGTTCGCCAACTGCCACCACATTCTTTGAGCGTTGCATCACAACATTCGTTATCGGACTTTGAACACAGACACTCGTATTAAATGAGCTACGTGTGAAAGAACTAAACATAGTCAGGTTAACATGAAAAATACCATGGCTTGGAAATATATGCATGGCTGTGGACTGTCCTATCACTACAGTTACATTTGAGTCTTTAAACAGCCAATGGAAAGTCAGACTGGATACGTTTCCATTCACCAGAGCTGTAAACTGCGTGTCTTTTCCACTCATGATGCATTCTGTCGGGAGAACACCTCTAATAGTCAAAGCATAGACCTCAACAATGATAGACTGAAAAGCTTTGCTGACAGAATTATAGACAGTCACTTTTACTGTATAGTTCCCTGGAAACTTATAGATGTGTGAGATGGAACCATCTGTAAGATTCTCCTGCTGGGACCCATCACCAAAGTCAAAATCCCAGAGGAGGTCAGTACCAGTAGAAACCTCAGCTTTGAAATCTGTAGCAGAGCCAACTTCAGTTGATCTGCTGCTGGAGACAGTTAATCCAGAGATTTTCTCCATAACTACCACCAAATGCCAGGCACTAATGGATGAAACTTTGTTATTAGCCAGTACTGTGATGTTGTATACTCCTGCAGATCCAAACCTACGGCCAGTTCTAGCGTGGATGCTTTGGACAGCTTTAGAACCATCTCCAAAGTCCCATGTGTAGAAGACAACAAAAGCGGAGGGTTCGGTGGAAGCTTCCAGATCGAAAGTCTGGTTGACAACAGGCACCAAAGTGGAAGGGGAAATGAAGAGGCTGATTAACAGAGGGCGGACATTTATCTTCATGGATGTTTCAGTGTTGTCATATTGATTGGAGACTTGAACGTGAAGTGTGTAGTCCTCTGGAATAAACACAGAAAATGAATTTTGCTTTATTGTACTGAATACTATAAGTGCATAGCAGTCAACCACAGTGTCATTTGTGATACTTCCTACTAAAGATTTAAGAAAATTTCAAAAATATTATCCTTTCTAAAGTGGTTAAAAAAAAATATGAATCTCCAAGAAACAAATGGTTTAAAATATCTACATATGATTCTGGGTTCTCTGCCAAAAAGGCAGCAAAGAGAAAATTTAAAAGTTAAATTAAATTAACTAAAAGTTAATTTAATGTTTGCTTAACTGGCTGTTTAAAGCACCATTAAACTCATATTAATTACCTTTTTGGCCAGCGTTTGTTGGAGAAACTAATTGTAAACACAACACTGCTCTACTGCAAACACATAAAGTCAATATGCTGAAGGAGTTTGCAATCATTTGCCTCATTACACATCAAGCAGACATATAGGAACATTAGTATTTAGCATCTGGTTTGGTTTTAACCAAAATGTGCAGCACTCCCAAATGCTCCAATATGTCCTCCAGACTTTCTAACAGTGTTGATGCTTGGTAGGTAGAATACAGTGGGTTTACTGGAGTTAGTTGCTAAAATCAGCTGTTTTGTAAAGAAATAGGAAGGTCTGATTAAAAGTGGCAGTGAACCAAAACATTAAAGACATGGGATGTAAAGTTAAAATAGTGAAAAATATTACAATAATCAGCAGTGTCAATAATTTAAGTCTTCTGTGTGTGTTTACCTGGGATCCAATAGCTGTAGTTTACCGAGTCCTGAATATACATTTGCTTCTCTCTTCTTGCCACATGTGCTTCCATGGCCTGACATGGAGCAGGCTGCGTGCGGAGGACACTGCTACTGCCATCCCCAAAATCCCATCTAAGTGACAAGTTGCATGAAAAGCATACAAAACGAGCTTTATGAGTGCATTTTCAGTGTGAGACTTTCTTGTCAATAAAAAATTCAATAAAAGTCTTGGGAGAGATGTCTACAGAAGTCCTTACCTAAAGGTAACTGGAAGGGAGATATCAACTCTGACCCTCACAGTGTAGAGGTGAGTAACATCCACAGCCACAACCTCACTGACTGACAGGAACTCTGGGTCAGCTAGCAGCGTGATTTCATCTGCAGTCAGGAGGATTTGCTGGCTCTGCGAGCTCACGGGGTTGGATGCTGTCACCTACAGATAGTTCACTGATTACTAAAACTGCTTTTTCAACCCTTTTTTCTATTAACTGTAATCATGAAATTTCTATTTGTTATATTTGCCAAATAATATAAAACAACTAATATCTGAGCATAGTGCACTTTTTTTTTTTTTACCAGCAGCTTATACTCAGCAGGTTTCTTGAACATTACGCTGTAAGATCTCCCTTCATAGGCAAACTCTTTCAGGTCGTCAATCACCCATGAGAATTTTACTGAAGAGCCGCTCTCCACTGTGGCTGTAAATGACTACAAAATAAAACATAAAAAAATGTCATTACATTAAACTAAGGTAACTAACATTTCTTTCATATCCATGTTTAACTGTGATTGCAACTCTTACTAAAACACTAACTAAATGTAATACAAAATAGTCAGTGGCCTCCAATTTAAGCACTTAAGACGGCTCAACCACAAGTGGTCCAGTCAACCACAAATATTTGATGGAGCTTTCCATGCAGCTACTGAAATACAACTGATATGCAAGATATAAAGAAGATGCACTGACACACTGTACTCCAGGTACAGAAGCACACTCACAGACACACCAAGAAACCCCAGGTTAAGATTAAGCAAGGGAATCAAGTCAGTCAGTGATGTGTCAGCCTGAAACACTGTGGTGATGAACAAAGCAATGTGACCAGTGCAGAGAGCTTTCAGCAGCTGATGGATTCAAATATGAATCTTTGGTCCTATGCATTGTGAGCTGAAATATCTTGGACTTGATGAAATATTACACCAATGATCCACTGGAATTGTAAATTAATGTAGATAAGAAACATACTATACTTATCAACTTTATGTTACGTGTAAAGGTTCTTTAGGTATTCCTGCTATGAATTCTTGAAGTTATACTTGCAAATTTAACATTTTTTGCTAAAAACAAACAAAACCAAAAAAAATCTGACAAAAAAAAAAAAAACCTCTGGAAAAGTTTTTAAGTTGGCAATTTGATTTCTCTGTAGTAAGAAAAAATAAATAAATCTAAAATTGCCAGTGTAGTATATTAGCTTTTTCCTGTGTTGGCTATCACACACACATGCAACCCTTATTTGGATAGATGGTTAAAATGATGGATGGATGATTATGAATTATCATCTGGGGAACATGTGTGTCCTCCAGAACTTGGATAACAATTCATCTAGTTGTTATTAATTTCTTTTGGTTGCATTCAAACTGGCATAACAATTAACATAAACTGCTATTTTGAGACTCACACAAGCTATTTCGTTAAAATATATTGTTAAAAAAAACGTAGCATCTTTGTCACTGTTTCCTTTTTGGTGGTCTCACCTGCGATGTATCTACAAGCATCCTCAGGCATCCATGTGGCTCAACACTAAGCCCCGTCACAGGCTCGTAGCCACAAACCTTCACGCTCAAACTCTGAAAACTTTGCACATCCATCACACTGATGTTCAGGATTTGAATTCCAGGTGATGATAAGACCAGAGTCACAGATGAAAACCAGGTATCCTGGGATTGCTTCCTACAGCCAAGTGAAGACTGAAACATATTTTCAGGACAGGATGGAAGAAACGGAACTCCAGTCTGGAGCACCGGGGCTGACCATGAGCTGCTGGCTTTTTCTCCAAACAGGGCCTTGAGTATAATGACAGTTGGGACATTGATTTGGACATGAATCTGGTTCTTATCATCTGGGAGTGGGTGAATGACCTCAAGTTGGAATTTAGACCTAAGACTGGGATTAGGGCCTGTAGTAAGGGGCCTAATACCACTGACAGTGGCTGTCTCTGTTGGAGTATAGTCAAAGATGTCTTCATGCTCCGTAGCTCTGTGAAGGGTGTCCACATAAAGCATCCTTAGATTACACACAACTCCATCCACCCACTTGCTTCCTTGGGGCAGTAAAGTAACTCCTTCCAACCAGCCTCCCCACTCCATCCCCCTGAAGGACAGGTAACTTTGGCTCCAGGGAGAGTTTTGAGAGGCTTCACTGTTTAGGCAATGTAGAAATGTTCCAGAGTCAAGAGTGTGCTGTATAGCCACAATATCATCAGGGTAAACCACGATGGCTCGCTCTAAGAGGGACAGCTATTGAAAAAACAAACATGATAATGTGTAAAGAATTATTGTGGCATACGTTTTAAAAGGTGCATTTTCCAAAAAGGTTGCAAGATAATCAACAAACCCTTATGGTGTTTAGCTCGAAGGTGGGGTTTATTTTCAGAGGCAGGTCTGCCACCACGTGATAGAACGGTGGTAAGTCGGAGTATCTTGGGGGTAAGGCAAAGCCCCGATTTCTGATGGCAGAGTCGTAGGTGCTGCATGGACTGGTGGTGAGCACGCATGCCTCCAGTAGATGGCACCAGTGCTGCCCTGTGCTGCATCCCCCTGTAGTGTTACACAGTGGTACTGCTGAGCAGCAGCTGAATGGATTAAGGAGAGAGCTGCAGCCTGACAAATAAAAAAGCAGATTATCACCTACAGTATCAGACAAATACATCCTACACCTCCTTCCCATTAGCACCTACTCAGCTCGACTCAACTTGACTCGGTTTTTAGCGTTTTCTACTAGGTGGTAACTTGGTTAGTAGTTGTACCTAGTCAGCCTGGATTCCCATCAAGCTGAGTCAAGCAGAAAATGTGATGTCGATAGACTGCGTGCCATTACTGAGAGTGATGTCACTGAATAACCCAAGAGCCTGCATCCTTTCTGACTCTCTTCTTTTATACCAAGTCTTACAAAAGGCCATAGAGTGACCAGCAGGTATACATCACCTCAGTGTCCTCCAGTTTGTGTTGTGTTTGTGTTGCATACAAATGACACACACTGCACACTGGGCCTTCCTATAACTATCCCACCAACATTGAGGTAGTACTAAATTGTACTGAAAAATATCCCAAACTGAGTTGAGTGGATCTGAGCCAAGTAGGTGCTATGAAAAATTAGGCTTTAGTCACAGCTGTTTCAGTACCTGGAGGTACCAAGTGGTAGTTAGGGTTGCAGTAGGGCCGAAGTATCTGGACACGAGCCAGAGAGGACACAGGACTGGGCTGGACCACCAGTTCCACTGATAGCAACTGACCTGCATGACTGAACCACAAGCCTGGGAAAAGCTGCATCTGTGGGAGACATGGGAGCCTACTTATATACAAAAGTTGTGAGTGTTTCATCCTCTCCTTTCCCTAGTTGGGAATCACATAGCAGCCGTTCATCTTATAATATCCTATGATTCCTTGAGTCAGGAGTCAGTGATTAAGCACAATACTTTACCTCTACTGTGTGCCGTCCGATGTCTGGAACACTGGGAAGAAGCTGCACGTGGGTTTCCGCATATATGCTGGTCATGAGAGCCAATCCAATGAGGTAACTGTCTATCGATGGTAAAGGCGCTACAGGAAGATGAATAAAACAAAATCACCTCAGTCTATTTCAAATGACATTTTTTTATATATTTGACCTGACCCATTGAGGCATGGACACTAACTAACAACAGATCCTTCAAGTCCTGTAAGTTGAGAGCTGGGGGCCTCCATGGTATGGACTTGTACAGTATATCCCACAGATGCACAATTACACTGAGATTTGGAGAACTTGGAGGCCGAGTCAACACCTCAATCTTGCTGTCGTACTCAAACCATTCCTGCTTTTCTTTCCAGGCTCCTTAGACCAGTCAAGAAATACTATTTCCATGAAATGCTGTGTATGGCTGGCAATAATGCTTAGGTAGGTGTTATGTGTCAAAATAACATCCACATGGATCCACAAGGATTTCCAACAGAACGTTACCAAAAGCTTCACATTGCCTTCGTCAGCTTGCCTTCAACCCATATTGCATCCTGGTGCCAGGAGTTCCCCAGGTAAGCGATGAACACATTAGTCCCTAATATATCCCACCCACTAACAATGTCATGATGACGAGAATAATTAGTGTTATTCACTTCACCTGTCAGTGGTCATAATGGCATGCTTGGTCGGTGTATATATTTGGCTTTGCCAAATTATCAGCATGTTCAGTCGAGCTGTGTTTTTCTGTTTCCAGAGCTTGAGCTTTGCTTGCCCTCTGCTTTTGTTTGTTTGCCAGCTTGCCTGCCACCTGAAAACCTACCATACTGCCTGCATTCAGTTCTTCTTCCTGCTTTCACATTCATGCGTGTTTCTGGTGTCCTTTAATGAAACAAAAATCTCACCATTTACTTCCATTTCACAGATGAAATGGTATTGTCCTGCACACTGGGCCTTCCTCCACCTTCCCAGTGTTCCCAGTGCCATCTGAGTGCACTCCCCTGGACTATCATCATCTTTGTCCTGCCATATTGGACTTTGTGGCTGAACAACCCCTTCCTGGTCAGAGTCCTGCAGCCATACCCACACAGTGGTTTTCCTAAAATACAAAATGTTACACGTTCTGTGTTAAAGATTAAAAACAGGCTGAAGAAGCATATCCTCCTGAGAACCAGGGTCATCATTTGTCCTCTGCAGTAGACACACAAATCACAAAAAAAAGAAAGTTCTCAGGAGAATATGATATGAATGATTGTGTATATTGTTTGTCAGACTCACAGTGGAAAGGCATGAAGAAAGAAACTTTGAAGTTCTAGGCTGTCAGCAGCTGCTAAGTCCCCTCCCAGGGTTGTTCTGCATGAAGCCCGTGCTTCAAACCATGACACTGCCATCTCTGACAGCCAATAGCATCGTAGGCTGGTCAGGTGAACCTGACTGCCTTGCGGGCAGGGAATGTTCTCTGGAAAGCAACAGCAAAACTTAGTGAACCACATGCAAGGAGTGCTTTCTTAAATAACTCATGTGAATCACATCAGTGATTAGCTTTAAATCCAGCTGCACAAAGACACATTTGACAGAATCACATTTCAGCTTTTAGGTTTAACCTTGACATTGTGTTTGTGAGACTTCAAAGCACCTGCTGCTTTTATCAGGAAATTTGAGCTACAGCACTGGTTTTAGGAGAGAAGCGCTACATGCTCCATGTGTAATGTTCTGTATGAAATACAGTCAATTTAGTGGGACAAACATTCCTCTTTAAAAGTTCTCTGTTACAAGTAAAATGCACACATTCAAACTGTGACAAGATCATCAGAAAAACTTTAAACTATGAAAAATTGAAGTATCCATTAATAATAATAATAATGGATTGCATTTATACAGCGCTTTTCGAGACCCTTAAAGCGCTTTTACAATTCCACTATTGATTCACACACTGGCAGAGGCAGCTACAGTTGTAGCCACAGTTGCCCTGGGACAGACTGACAGAGGCGAGGCTGCCATATTGCGCCATCGGCCCCTCTGGCCATCACCAGTAGGCGGTAGGCGAAGTGTCTTGCCCAAGGACACAACGACCGAGACTGTCTGAGCCGGGGGTCGAACCAGCAACCTTCCGATTACAAGACAAACTGCCAACTCTTGAGCCACGATCGCCCCATTAGTCTCTTTTTACTCCTTTACTCTTTTTAGTCTCTTCTATCCTTTTTACTGGGCTGACACACATCATAATTCTCAATCTGAAAGGTAAGTACAAATGTCATATTAGCATGCAAACCATAAAGATTTAAGATTTCCCTCTGAACTGTTGCAATTGACTTACAAAATCAAATAAAAAGTAATTTTTACCTCATAATTGCACTCAGGTACAGGATCTTTTTTGCACTCAACATTTTTTATTTTATAGGCCTTATTACCATGAAGCGTTAATTTTAAATAAAATGCAGCTGAAATATATAAAATCAACAGTTTATTTATTGATAAAATTACCAAATATATGGTTGGTATAAATTCAATGGATACCTTTCAAACAAATTTCATTTGATCAGCTTCCATTAAATTTAATATTTGAAATACTTGCATTTCTTAAGTAACAAATTATATGGGGAAGAAATGCATGTCATTTCATATTTAAAGTGAACATTACATTTTGGGCATTTTTTTCTTTTTTGAGTGCAGTCACACAGAAGGAAGCCTCACATATTAAGTAGATCCTCTTGGGATTAAACCAGGAATCAAATATTCAAACTGCTACAATGTCGAGATTTTGTGAAAAAGGTTAAATAGTTGGTAAAAGCTGGTAAATATAATATAATATTGTTCAACCCTTCAGTGATTAAAAATGTATCATTATCAACAAGAATTTCTTGAAATACATCAGTGAAACTGTTGTTATTACCAGACTTTAGTCTGGTAATTATTATTAAACACCAATAAAGTTGGTGTTTAATAATAATGATTTTTTTTAGACTTACAGGAGGTGGCAGTTAATAGTTACATTGTGATAGCAGAATTTAATTTTGAAAGTCTGTCATTTTAACACATGCTCATAAACTCCTAAATAATGGAGCACTATCATTTGATGAAGAAGGAAGTTTTATTTTGAAAAACCAAAAACCATAGCTTTAAAGCATCTACGAAAATATTTCATATTTTGAAAAAAAAAAGGTTAGTTTAAAGAACACTTTTTGATTGGCTGGTATAAAACTAAACACAATGTCATCTGTCTTCTTCAAAAATATATGTTTAAGTTATTTTCTATTACATTTAAGTATATTGCACTTTGTCTTTAACTCGGTTTAACTCACTTTAATAAACACCAACGTTATTAAGCTTTATTAAAGCTTTCTGAACTTTCTTGCAGTTTGTTAATGTGCTGACAAAATTTGTCCACAAAAGGCCACCAAGCTGGCAAAGTCCTCACTAAGTAAGTACGCATTTCCAGGACTACGTTTCTGCCGCACACACAAGGTGAAAATAGGAGTCACATTCTCTTTAACAGTAAACAAACAGCAACATATACAATAAAAGCCATAATGCACAATCCTTGCTGTATACTGACAACACATGTAAAGTGGATGAAGAGTGCTACAACAATACTGTCGTATTCTGTGATCTCGTCTTCAAATGTAACCAGACGTTTTCTGAATTTTGAAATTATTTTGAAATGTTGAAGCTGATACTGCAGATTTTCCAGAACACAGCTTTTCTTTTCCATTTAGTAACCTGGTACAAACTTAAGATTCTCACCTCCAGCAGTTGTGATCAAAACCATGCAAATAATCCAGGGTAGAGAGTGTTTCTGCGGCACAAGCGTGGCTCTCATCTTGCCGAGCAAATCACGCATGGAAACAGAGCATTGTAGAAATGAATTCTCTTCTTGTATTACACTAGATTTGAAGATTCTCCTCATCTTAAATTGAGTGTCTTATCTTCCTTTCCATCCACTTCTGTGCCTTCTGCACACACACACACACACATCTCCACTGGGCCCTCCTTTCCTCCTCCTGCAGAGACACTATGAGTTATGGTGGTACTGTTGTTTTAAAGGCCTCTTCTCTGTTCTCCGTGAGTGCCTGGGTGACTTTTACTTTGTCTCTCAGCAACAGCCATAGAAGCAGAGTGGACAGAGGAGGCCTGAGCTGCTCATTACCATGTTGTAAAACCTTCTGGCACTGAAAGGAAAGAAGCAGACTCCCTCAGGCTGGATGCAACTAAGGGTTCTGACAGAAACGAGCCTCACAGCCCAAAGAGTCACTGCAGTAGTTGTTTTAGCTTCACAGCACAGTGTGGCCACAAGATTTTTTTTTCTGTTAGAGCTAGAAAGGTCACTCTCCTGCAGTGTGTCCACACACTGTTGTCTCAGCAAGACCTCACCACTTACCGAACAAAGGCTCTGTGACGCACACGCAAAGACTAGATTTGAAAGGCAGGATGCCATCCGGGTTGCCTGGAGAGTGAACAAATCATGTAGAGCAGGGGTGGGGAACTCCAGGCCTCGAGGGCCAGTGTCCTGCAGGTTTTAGATGTGTCCTTGATTAAACACAGCTTATTTAAATGGTTAAATGACCTCCTCGACATGTCTTGAAGTTCTCCAGAGGCCTGGTAATGAACTAATTGTTTGATTCAGGTGTGTTTACCCAGGAGGAGATCTAAAACCTGCAGGACTGTGGCCCTTCAAGCCTGGAGTTCTCCCAACCCTGATGTAGAGGGTGGCGATAATGTTGCATTAACTTGGAAGTTTCTGTATTTTTCTTTTTCTTTCTTTCTTTCTTTTTTCTTTCTTTCCCAAGAACTTAAAATTCTGTAAAGGGACCAAAGTCACTGGTTTCAGTGAAGTATATAATAGTTCAGTATTTATGGATTCAAATGGTTTTTTACCACAAAGCAGAAAAAAAATAACTCTTAAGTCAATTTAAGAAAAACTTTACCCATACAAAACTTTAAGATTAAAATTTTGCTAATGTTCTACAGCATGTTGGTCAGCCTGACATGTTCGTGTAATGTTCGTGTTCTTTTTGGTTCAGGCACATTGCCTCCTACATATGTTCAATGTTTTTAGTCTTATTTTATTATTTTATTGTGGTAAATATATGAGTGTTTCCCACTTCTATTTGTATTAACTTCCAATGGGTTGTTATATTTTGTTTTATTATGTTATGTTTAGTTATGTTAAGAATATGTGATCTGAATTCATTAGCGCTAGATATTAATAATGTTGCATCCAAGCAAGACTGGGGCTGTGTGGTGTCATCTTATATGGAAAATACTCCTGGTTCAAGACCAGTAGGATGCATGCCCAGCCTAAAGAAAAGGGAAAGGAATGTTGTGCCAAATCAAATGTGGATCCATCTGCTGTGGTGACCCCTGGGTGATGTAACCTTTCATGAAGAGTGAAACTAGCAAAAACTTTTTTTTGAGAGAGAAAAACACTGAATCATTTGATGAGGTTAATGAGGGAGGTGGAAACACAGTTGCAGACAATTAACCAAAGGAGATGGGGAAGTAATGCAAGCCACAGAGAACAACACTTATCAAAACATAACAGGAAGAGAGACACAACCCAATGGAGAAAAAGATTAACTTAACACAACTAAACAGGGAAGGAGAAAAATAAAAAGACCGACACAAAGACGAGAGTGAAGGAACAGAAAGGGAACTGTTAAGGGAACTGACAAATCTAAAGTCATTTATAACTAACAGAAAAACTACAGGCACAAATAACAATACCAGGAATCAGATGGGCTTACTCATAAGCATAAGGCATTACAAAACAACATTATTGACATGTACATTAGTCACTTATCAAAACCCAAAAGGAATAATGAACTGAAAACACTGAAAACCATGGTTCCAAGAGCCAGGAAGCATGGCAAATATGGGATTTTATTCCATTTCATTTCACAATGTCAGTTTTCACCAAATTTTCACCAAATTAACAAATTTTCCTTTTATTAATTCAGCAATGAAGTGAATAAAATTTTATCTTATGATTGAAATGGTCCATTAAAAAAGTGCCTATGCTTTACCAGTTACATCAGACTGACCTATAGGTAACTGTGAACTGAAACAGTTACAGCACTAATAAAACTACAACTCAAAATTAAATTAAAGTTCCTCAAACTGTGGATTGCAGCTCATAAGGGTTCCCCAAAATAATTATCTGCATTAAAAATCAGATTTGCAAAAAAACAGATTTGATTTGCAAAAAGTCAGTTAATAATACGGTTGTTGTTTTGTTTTTGTTGTTGTTTTTTACAATTTAATAGACTATTTATATATTTTGCTATTGCATCTGTTAAATATCTATTATGCTATCTATATTTATTTTAAGCTTCAGTTTGCCATTGCAAATAAAAGTCACTAGGGGGCAGCAGCGGTACGTCACACAAACACACCACCGAGGAAGAGCAGAAAACAGGAAGCAAAGAAGGAGGCTGTTGATGGTGACATATCTTAGGTAATGTTAAACGAAGAAAACATAAGGGTTTAGCTTCGTTTCTTTGAAATAAGCACTGTTAAAGCATGGAGATGTTTGCGCACTAACGGGATATTTGGAATTTAATATCTAGTTGGGTTTTTTCAATGTGGTTTTAGGGTGAATATTAGCGAAGCTATTTATCGTCCGCGAATTAGTCCTGATAAGAAACACTATACGTGTGTGTATGTTGTATGTCGTGTAGAGATGCGATGGATAACTTCCTTAATATTAGAGGCATGAGTCGGCATGTACACAGTGTAAGAAAGTTAAACTAAATCTGTCCCATTTCTTCCTACATTACAGCCTCACGGGGGAAAATTACAGTACTTCTAATAAACGGTTGGTTTAATTATAAGAGCCTTTATGCCTTTTTATGCCGAAGGTTTCCAGAAGGTTTTATTTATCATAAACAAGCATAGATTGATTAATTGGATGCATCGTTCGGACGATTAGTTTTGCGAATATAAAATTGTAAAGATTTTGAATGAAGTTTGGTTGAAAAAGTCTTAATGACCAGCTTAAACTTTAACGCCCATATATACTATTTTTCCCCCCCCGGAAATAGAATAATAACTTTATCTTGCCACTTTTATCCGAGTCAGATCTGAAGCCTTATTTATATTTCACCTGAACTTTGGATTCTATGTTTTGTTGTTGTTTTCTTTAATACAAAACACTGGTTGCTGATTTGGTGCCCTAAGGACACCAAATCTGTTTTGAGAACAGATGAGTTGACAAACAGAAATGCACTGCGGTGTTTGTATGAGGACCATACGTTTGTATATTTGGTGTGTGTTATTTATTCTCTGTCTTTGCATTTGCAGCAGGTTCTATGCTCAAGCTAAGGACCGCTGAAGAAGAGAAAAGGAGTTGTGAAATTTCCCAGCTGAGGCAGGCTGTGTTACAAAACAATGACAGACTCCTTGATGAGATGCTCTGCCAAGAAATCTACAAGAAAGTCATCAACTGCAGAGGTGGCTGGGGCATTGCAGGCACACCCCTGCATGCTGCAGTGTCTAAAGGCCACCTCAGCTGTCTGCAGGTCCTTCTAGCTCACGGTGCCATCATAGACTGCGTGGACGTCAAGGCCCAGACGCCTCTGTTCGCAGCCGTTCGAGGGAAATACCTTGACTGTGTCTTAACTCTCCTCAAAGCTGGCGCCAACCCCAACGGAAGCTCGTCCAACAACTGCTCGCCGGTCCTCACTGCTGCAAGGGAAGGCGACGCAGAGATTCTAAAGCAGCTACTAAAACACGGCGCTGAGGTGAACTCCCGCGCCAAAGTCTTATTGTGGACCTCGAGTGCCAGAGTCTCCAGTGGGCCGCTTTATTTGGCTGCTGTTTATGGACACATGGAGTGCTTCAAACTGCTGCTCCTCTACGGGGCAGACCCAGACTACAACTGCACTGATGCCAAGCTGCTGAGCTCTGACAAGCAGCCCAAAACTGTGCTGGAGATGTGCCTTAGGCACGGCTGTGGCGTGGAGTACATCCAGCTTCTGATCGACTTCGGTGCAAACGTCTACCTCCCCACGCTGATCATCGAGAAGTCGACGAAGCAGAACGAGGCTGTGGAGCTGCTGCTGCGAGAAAGAGGTGTCGGACAGATTCTTCAGCGCTTTTTCACTTCAGATCTTTAACACTACTGATGACGATGTAACTGAAGGAGTGCTAAAGTTTTATCTATGAAATAAATACATTTATAATATGACTTCTAACATTTATCCTCCAGGCATCTCTCCTCACTATTGCTTTACATACTATATGTTTGACTAGCATTTGTATTTAACATTAACACACTTTGTAGGTGTGATTTTTTTTTTTTCCCATAGTAAAAGCTAAAATTCTTAAATAATGTACTTACAATATGTATACAGCAGCAGTTATATGTTCCACTCAGTTTTATTTATATAGTGTCAAATCACAACAGCAGTCACCTCAATATGTTTTACATTGTAAGTTAGAGACGCTACAATCAAACAACCACCGTTGAGTAAGCACTTGGTGACAGTGGGAAGGGAAACTCCCATTTAACAGCAAGAGTCTTCTGCCAGACTCAGGCTCAGGGAGTGGCAGCCATCTGCCACGACCAGTTGGGAGATTGTTAAATATATGTTGGATGTCTTGTTTAGTAATAATAGTTACTGTAAACTTCATTAAATATAAATAATATTATTATCATTCATGATATATTGTGGGTATAACTTTGTTCTGTTTTGTCTCCAGGAAATCCAAAAGCTTTGACCTCACAGTGCCGACTTGCTGTGCGGAGACACCTCAGAAAGATCAACAAGATCAACTGCATCGACCAGCTGGAAATGCCCACAAGTCTCATCAACTTCTTGCAACACAAAGCAGCACCAGTCACTGTTCTGTAGATAGTGAAGGTTAAGTTATTTTATGACCCGTGTTTTGTTTTGTTTTTTATTTTAGCTTAAGCTTTTATTTGCAGGATTTGAGCCCCTTTGTCCTCTTTTTAAAATGGCTTCTGTGTGAGTATGCATTGTTCTTGCTCTTAAGACTGATTCTTCAGCTAAAAGAATAAAGGTGGATTATTGTTGTGGAATTGTAGTTCTTACACTTTACCTGTCCAAGGTGTGCCCAATCTCAAATGAACTGTTACGAAGGCTGTTTGCACTGGAGTTCCCAGTGCAGTCATGTTCTTCTCCTTAATGATTATAGTCAGAACAATATTTTCTAATTCACACGCAAATTTTACTTTACACTCGATTCGTCAGTTATGGAGTGTCGAGACCTGATGGAGGATCTGGTATCTACCTCAGGATCGTGCAGTCTCACCTCTGAGATCCATCACACAGAGGCTGATGTTGGTAAATGTGTACAAGCCCAGTTCCAAAGACAAAGTTGTTATGCTTCGTGACACTCAAAGTTGGGATTAGGCTGTAAAAGTAAGTGGTACTAAATAGAAACGCCTCGTGTGTGCCTCTGTCCCACTGAGCTGTCAACAAAGACTTTGATCCTCAAATATTTCCAAAAGAACAGTGACCTTAGACAGGCAAAGTCCTGTTGCTTTGCACATTATCACAATTCTTTGTGATGATATTATATAAATAACTGCCAAAAACCAGGACAAAAAAAATTTAAGGGAGTCAGACTACTCCATTCATCTGGTCTGAAAACAAATACTACATGAGGGGAGGAACTGACATATGAATAAAAATGGACACAAGAAGAAAAATTATATGAAGTTTGCTAAAATGAGAGACATTAGTCTCCAAAATTAAACAAACTAATTATTATCTTACAAATATATATCAAAGGAAAGGCAAGAAAGTTGGATTTCTAACATTTTCTTGTGACAACACCATGTAAGAATATTATTTTGTCAGTGGTTATTTCGTCTTGTCTCTCATCTATTCAGTATGTTGACATGGGTCTTCATTGGTGCTTTGTGACCTTTTACCTTTTCCGTTCAACCATTTAAAGCTGAACCTCAAAAATTGAAGGAAATAACCTCCAACACTGCTGCTGCTGCTAACTTCTAATCTTTAGGTGAGTTGATACCTAACAGCTTCAGTTTGTAATCCTGTTGCTTCTTAGCCTGGGACATTCTGCAAAAATATCTTTTAAGAGCACCACCCATCCAAAAAAACAAGAATATTTATGTCTGATATATTTTTAGGAAGGGTGCAAGAAGGATGTGATTTGTACTTATTGTGTCCCAAAGAGCAGATCACTAGCAAAAAATCTTTAAGCACTTTTATTTAGGCTTTTGCATGAGCTGTTTCTCAAAATCAGAAAGAGTCAAAGAGACAGTCAAAGAATTCCCCAAAATGTTCAGATGATGACATTTTTTTGTAGAATATGTTAAAAGATTTTATACTTGGGGAAATTGCTTCTCAAATCCTACACAATCATAATCAGCACAAGGAAATTCAGATTAGGTGATATTCAATGGAGCCTGACTAAAGTCAGATGAGCACTGAAGTTAGGATGTATCTTCTGTGTAAATCAATATGTGAAAAAGATGTGGCCACAACCATCTAGAGATATAGATATGTAGATGTGGGAAAAGTGAAAGGATTCGTGTTCAGTCTCTGGCACGATGAGTCAGTGCTAAACCTGCAGGTTGCTGTGCCAAAAGAAAGAAAAACAGAAATCTTCTTGTTAAACCATTGAAAAAACAAGGGGGAAAGTCCATTTAAATAAGTTTAAAAAACATGTTTATAATTTCAAAAATTGTTAAAGATTCTGTCTCAGATAATGTAAAAAAAAATTAAAGCTTTTTTTCTTTGTTACTCTCATGACAGCAACTAAACAGGAAATGGGTCAAACACTATCCCCAGAGCAGGAGGAGATGGCCTTTGAAGGTATTGCTGATATGCTTAGCAATGTTTTACAGCTGGATGAACTTAAAATTGACAGGTGAGCAATTCCACAACCAAAAGACAACGAGTGTCCTTTAGCGTTCCATTCGACATGATTACGTTCCAGTTTTAATGATGACATTCTGTTCAGCAAGATGAAGTTCCATCAACAGGATAACACTCCATTCAAGACGGTATTCCATTCTTAAATAGGACATTCCGTTCTACATGATGACATCCCATTCTTCATTCAGTTTTATATAATGACATGATGACGTTCCATTCTAAACTGACATTTCATGCTAACGATGACATTCCCAACTGCATTATGACATCCTATTAGACACAATGACATCCCATCCTACCTGACATGCTACGTTGTGCCATTCCATACTAGTTTATGAGGTTACATTCTAGACAATAAAGTTCCATTATATATGATGACGTTCCATGCTACATGATGATATATCTATAAGATCTCTACATCAAACAAAATACAAAGCAGAGACATACATGATTTCAATGTAAATTCACTCATTTTGTTAATCAGTTGAGTTTTCATGTAGAGCATTCTTTTAACACTCTTTTGTTGTTAATACCAAGAGCTTTGTGTTTAGCATTAAACATTTGCAAAGTTAGTGATCATAGGAGCAAACTGAACCTTTCAAAAACTGAAATAAAATGGGCAGTAAAAGTTAATCAATAGTTAATTAAAATATAATAACAGCATGAGCTAAGTTCCTTGTAGAGTGCTAAACTAATGGGAAACAAATATCCTCTCAGTTCCCTGCAGAGATTCTCTGGGCTCAACTCAGCTGAAGAGCTGAACAATTACAGAGACCACGTCTTGTACAGTGGAGAACTCAATCAGGTCGCATCTATTGTAAGCGAGGTGGGGAATGTTCTAGGTGGGCTCAGCGTGGTGCCTCATGCTGTCGGACTGGGAGCTCTCATCATTTCCTTGGCCTTAGACGTGGTCGCCAAAAGCCTAAATAAAGAAACCATGGGCACAGCTGAAATGTTAGAGAGGGTGTTCGCACAGGAGAAGGCCAAGGAGGTAAGAACTTAAGAAGTTAGCACTTAAAAGTGGTGTTCATTTGGATGCGTAATGTAGCTTACTAATTCACTTTTTTCCTTGTAAAAAAAGTCCTGCTGATCAACATACAAAATTTGCCTTAACATTCCTCTCTTTAACTGTGCAGGTGCGAGATCTGATGCACGAGTATTTGAAGCGTATGCAGATCAACCTGAGAGACCCACAACTTCAACTCTCTGACACCCGTCAAATTGAGATTGCTCTTAGTGCCCAGCTCACGCGGCTAAAGGTACAAAGCTGCCAGCTTTCATTTGTAACAAATCATCCCTGAATAGGGGATTTTACAGAAGTATTCATGTATAGAAATGTTTGTAGTTAACCCTATGATGCTGTGTACTCCAATTTCTTTTCTAAGAACTCCATGCTGATAGATGAACATATGGACACTCAGTTTCTGAAGCAGTGGGTGAATGGAGCTGCCTTCCACACACAGATGCTGATCCATCAGGCTCGTCTAGAAAGTGCAGGAGAACCTGATGGATCCAGAGCCGTGCGTGCGGCAGGGATTTATCAGCAGGACATGAACCGTCTGATGGAGAAATTCAAGACCTTGATGAGAAATCGTGATGATTCTCAAAATGCCAATAAGATAATAGAGATTCTGTTTTCTAAACCTCAGATTACCTGGACGAGGGATTATTTTTCAAAACTGCAAGCAAATATTCCAGCTCTTGTGAGGCAAAATGCTGACTTTGTTATCAAAACCGGATTTTGATCGTCAAGCATCGATCCACAAGTAATAAACTAAAATATTTGAAACAAGTAATTTTTTTGTGGCCAGTACAGTTATGTAAGGGTCCAGTCTGATCTACTGGCCTGGGAATCCAGTGGAGGAAAATATATTTTTATCTTGGCCAGTGAAACCAATCCGACCAAGAAAATCAGTCGCCAGTCAGTTGGTCTTCCCAATTCTTATGTCCTAAATCTCTTTCATTTTTACTGCAATATACTGCTCTCTGATGGCTTTGTGTTTGTGTGTTTGGTTTAGTGTTTGTTTGTTTTTTTTTAGTTGCTCATGTGAAGCACTTTGTAATTTGGATTTTGTTTAAAGTAAATGGATAAGCCATATACATTTGGAAGGAATATGGGTAGAGTTTGGTTTTAAACCTTTGTGCCATCGCACCTATATTTGTTACTTTCTCAGGACTTGAATAACATGTTTACTATCTTGTAAATTGGTTTTATTCAAAAGCCCATCTATATTTGTAAAAATCATGATTTAAGCTCTGCATGGAAGGGAAACGTGTCTATAATTACATTCCTAAGCTTTCCTTAAATGAATTCCTGAAATTAAAAAGTGACCCACAGACCTATTCCAGAAAGTATAACAACCCCGTTTATGATCTACATTTTTTACCCTTGCATTGATGCTACATTAGAGTCATAAAACAGAATTAATGCCCATAATTATTAGAGAGTGGATACTAAATTTGATGCTTTTAGAATCACCAAAATGTAAACTTGAAAGATAGATTTTACAAGTACTGTAGTTTATGTGTGGTTTATGTCTGCTTTTCCTAGTGTGTGAATGACTCTGCAACAACAAAATCATACATTGTTTCTCTTCATCATCATGTTACTTCCTTTAATGGGTCCGCAGAAGGAGCATGCTGCCGGCTAAATAAGCTAGACTGAGTTACAGCACAATGGTGGTTCCTCATCAGTGTTAATATCATTCACTAAAAAATTTATTCATGATTTTGCTGATGAAAACACAACAATAAATTAAAAAAAAACTATAATGAAATGTCTCGGCACTTTCTTTGACAAATAAAAAAGAGATAAAAACAGAGAGATGAGCTCCAACCAGAACTAATGAATTTACGTAGAGAGGGGGGACAAGTTCTCCCTGTCCAGTAATGTTTGACGCACACAATTTGATCTGCACACGACAAACGGGTTGGAAGGAAGAGACACTTCCTGTTGCAAAATGTCAATGGTTAGGAGGAAGACGAGAGCAGACAGATGGACACATTTCACATTTTATGTGAAGGAAAATAAGACACTTTGTAAACCGCATGAAGCAACTTTCACCGGTAAAAACACGACAGACTTTTACACTTTGTATTTTAGTCAAATTAACTTAAGATTTAGTCATCAATCTAGTCAGCAACACCCATCTGCTCTTCAAACTTTCTGTCTGTAAGACCCAGCCAATATTTTCACATTAAAATTACAACAAAATTCTTTAATTAAAAAAAACAAAACGTGTCAATGTCAATAAAAGTTTTAGTTTCTAACCATCTAGCCTGCTTCTACCCATCACCACAGCAACAGAGCAACTGAATAAAAAACACTCCCAGTAAGAGCTGTCTGTACACAGAAGAACTGCTTGTTCAGGTCAATCTTTAAATTTGAAAGACTGCTTAAGTTTGCTGCAGGCTGACAGCACCTGTTCTGTCTCTCGGTAGCATGAAGGGACAGTATAAAGTAGAGCACAGCACCACATTTATCTTGAAGATTATTTCATTGTTCTTTTCTTGAAATAGATTTACAGAGACGTTTTTAATACATATATATCAGGCTCAAAATTTAATTGAAAAACTAACATAAGTTTAAACCTAAGGGCCGTCTTTAACAGATGGATGAAAATCTTTTGTAGTCAATGACTGTCACTATATGTTTGTGGGTCTCTCTGACCGACACTGGTTTGAAATGCTGTTTCCAGAGAGAGACACATGTCCAAAATGTGCTCATACTGTCTTGTTTTTTTCAGATTACGAGTAACAAAATGTGCTTGCATTATTAGTAGATTAAGGGAAGAACTTTATCACGTTTCAGTGTTGGGGTTTTGTGAGTTTTTAAAACCTCTACATCATCAGAGTGATATCCCCCCCGTCCCCAAAAATCCCAAATACAGTGGCTTGCAAAAGTATTCGGCCCCCTTGAACTTTCCCACATTTTGTCACATTACAGCCACAAACATGAATCAATTTTATTGGAATTCCACGTGAAAGACCAACACAAAGTGGTGTACACGTGAGAAGTGGAACGAAAATCATACATGATTCCAAACATTTTTTACAAATAAATAACTGCAAAGTGGGGTGTGCGTAATTATTCAGCCCCCTTTGGTCTGAGTGCAGTCAGTTGCCCATAGACATTGCCTGATGAGTGCTAATGACTAAATAGAGTGCACCTGTGTGTAATCTAATGTCAGTACAAATACAGCTGCTCTGTGACGGCCTCAGAGGTTGTCTAAGAGAATATTGGGAGCAACAACACCATGAAGTCCAAAGAACACACCAGACAGGTCAGGGATAAAGTTATTGAGAAATTTAAAGCAGGCTTAGGCTACAAAAAGATTTCCCAAGCCTTGAACATCCCACGGAGCACTGTTCAAGCGATCATTCAGAAATGGAAGGAGTATGGCACAACTGTAAACCTACCAAGACAAGGCCGTCCACCTAAACTCACAGGCCGAACAAGGAGAGCGCTGATCAGAAATGCAGCCAAGAGGCCCATGGTGACTCTGGACGAGCTGCAGAGATCTACAGCTCAGGTGGGGGAATCTGTCCATAGGACAACTATTAGTCGTGCACTGCACAAAGTTGGCCTTTATGGAAGAGTGGCAAGAAGAAAGCCATTGTTAACAGAAAACCATAAGAAGTCCCGTTTGCAGTTTGCCACAAGCCATGTGGGGGACACAGCAAACATGTGGAAGAAGGTGCTCTGGTCAGATGAGACCAAAATGCAAAACGCTATGTGTGGAAAACTAACACTGCACATCACTCTGAACACACCATCCCCACTGTCAAATATGGTGGTGGCAGCATCATGCTCTGGGGGTGCTTCTCTTTTATTTAGTATATTGTACATACTATTGTTTGAGTACTTACGATTGTTGTTTTTTTTTGTACTTTTTATATTTTACATTTATATTTATTATTGAAACTTGCACCAAGGGAGTGGCACTCCAATTTCGTTGTACTCTGTACAATGACAATAAAGGCTATTCTATTGTATTCTATTCTGGTCAGAGTTGATGGGAAGATGGATGGAGCCAAATACAGGGCAATCTTGGAAGAAAACCTCTTGGAGTCTGCAAAAGACTTGAGACTGGGGCGGAGGTTCACCTTCCAGCAGGACAACGACCCTAAACATAAAGCCAGGGCAACAATGGAATGGTTTAAAACAAAACATATCCATGTGTTAGAATGGCCCAGTCAAAGTCCAGATCTAAATCCAATCGAGAATCTGTGGCAAGATCTGAAAACTGCTGTTCACAAACGCTGTCCATCTAATCTGACTGAGCTGGAGCTGTTTTGCAAAGAAGAATGGGCAAAGATTTCAGTCTCTAGATGTGCAAAGCTGGTAGAGACAGACCCTAAAAGACTGGCAGCTGTAATTGCAGCAAAAGGTGGTTCTACAAAGTATTGACTCAGGGGGCTGAATAATTACTGCACACCCCACTTTGCAGTTATTTATTTGTAAAAAATGTTTGGAATCATGTATGATTTTCGTTCCACTTCTCACGTGTACACCACTTTGTGTTGGTCTTTCACGTGGAATTCCAATAAAATTGATTCATGTTTGTGGCTGTAATGTGACAAAATGTGGGAAAGTTCAAGGGGGCCGAATACTTTTGCAAGCCACTGTAAATAGCACAATACATTTTTAAGGAATAAATTACACAAAATACTGGATGTAAGATTTTTTTTTTTTTTTTTTGATGAAACATACTGAAATATTTATATTTTTATTTATTTATTGTCTGAAAGTTCAGTTTCAAAAGAAAAATCTGACAATTAATTGAAATTGAAGAGATATAAAGGGACAATATAAGAGTAAGGGTTTCCGCACCCTGTCGCTACACAATGTTTTACAGATTTGCAGTCAAGGATTGCAGGAAGATATGGCCAAACAGTCTGGAACAAACTGCAGTCTCTGGTCTCACAGGGCTGCCAGGAGGCGTGCCTTGACCGCAGGTGGGAAGTAAGTACAAATTTGTTACTGCACTTAAGTAGAATTTTGAGGTATCTGTGCTTTACGTATTTACTTTTTACTTTTAGTCTCTACATTTGGATACAAATACCTGTATGACAATGACAATTTGCATATTATTGATCATGAAACTGTTCTCACGGCCCACTGTTAGTGTTGCTGTTTTCAGTCACTATGCAAATGTATAGCAGGATAAACAGGTTGACTTGCACTGTGGTGAATTTACAGGGTTTTCCCCCTTCCTGATTTCCTATTTTTTTGGTATTTTTGTCATACTTAAATGTTTCAGATTTAAATATTGGATAACACACGTAAACACAACATGGAGTTTCTAAACAAAGGTGTTTATTATTAAAGGGAAAAAAATCCAAGCCTATGGAGCCCTTTGTGAAAACATCTTGATGATGCCCAAGACTTTTGGGAAATTACTCTGTGGACTGACTAGACAAAAGCTGAAGTTTCTGGAGGGTGTGTGTCTCATTACGCATCATACCAGCAGTAAAATATGGTGGTGGTAGTGTGATGGTTTGGGGCTGTTTTGCTGCTTCGCGATCTAGAAGACTTTGTGGTAAATAGAACCATGAATTCTGCTGTCTACCAAAAACTCCTGAAGAAGAATGTTCGACCTTCTGTTTGTAACCTCAAACTGAAGCACACTTGGGTTCGGGAGCAGGACGAAGATCAAAAAACACACCAGAAAGTCCATCTCTGAATGGCTTAAGAAAAAAACAAAGGACGACATTGGCTTAGTCAAAATCCTGACCGGATTCTGATTGAGATGCTGTGGCATTACCTTAAAAAGCTGGTTTATGCTTGAAAACCATCCAATGTGGCTGAAATAAAATGATTCTGCAAAGATGAGTCGGCCAAAATTCTTCCCCTAGTTCTGTAAAAGCCTCATTGCCAGTTATCACAAATGCTCGATTGCAGCTGTTTCTGCTAAGAGTGGGCCAACCAGTTATTAGGTTAAGGGGGTAATCACTTTTTCACACAGGGCCGAGCAGATCTGGATTTTTACCAATTCCCTAATAATAAACACTATCATTTAGAAACTGCATTATTTGTTTATCTTTCTCTAATGTGGTTCGGATGAAACAAGAGGAGGAGGGCAAACACTTTTTCACACCACTGTATATGCGTTACATTTTTTATGGCCATTTTGCTGTACACTGTTGTGAGAGGTACTTTCACAGATTACAAAAGATTAGTCGATGAACAAATACAAGATCTTATGACACGGTAAAATCAAAAGGTCTGAAAATAGACTACTGTTCAAATCAAATCAATACCAACAACACCACATCTCAAAATAAAAGCATCATAATCCCGGGACATTAGATTGCGTGTTTGAAATATTTAGGTTGAACATGTTCCATTAAAGAGCATGTAGCTGCAAAGTGTCATATTTGAAATGCCATAATTCAACACACCATAATCATACTGTCTGGTTTCTTAATGATGACAAGACGACTGATGTAGAAATGTTGTAATTATTTATTTTCACTCCCATACAACAGCAAGCCAAACACCAGAGTTCAAGTATCGTGATCATTAGGGAAATGGACGAAACAAAACCCAACACATTCATTTTAACTTAAGAGAACAGAAATTATCTGTACTTATAATATTGTTTCTAAACTTAAAAGCTACAAAGTCCCAACAAAACATTCTCCAGCCCTGGAATATGAATATTCATTTAAATATTCAGAAATTAATTCCTTAATGAAATATCAGACATGAAAAACATGTCAGCTGCTCTCAGGAAATCACTGTTAAAATGTGAATGACAAAAGTTAAGTTCAAGTATGATCATCCTTCCAAACCTGATCAATTTTATGATCAGCAATTAAAACTAAATGCATAAACAGTGTTTAAGAATCAAACACTAATTTTGGTCCCCCTTTTACTTAAAATACAAGTTGCATCATGATGACGACATCATGTCCTGTGAGGGATCGCCGGTCCTCACGGTGATCTCAGCCTAGACCCACATCTAGTGACATCATCACTACAAAGCCTAGGATGGAGGTCCAGGATGCCAGCTTTCCATTTCCACTGGTGATGCCAAGTTGAAGCAAAGGAAAATAGATTAAACCTCTTGCACAAGTAATCTAGCTTTGACCCCCCCACCCCAAAAGTAACTCCTCCTTTTCACTCTTACCTGACTTGCGCCTCAGGTATGATGTCATCCACCACCACATAGACCATCGCTCCGGCAGCAAATGCCAACGCGTACGGCAATAGAGGTTCTGCCAGAACAACAGCTACGGCGCCGAGCAGCCCGGCAATAGGCTCCACCATACCGCTAAGCTGACCATACCTGAAGGAAGAACACCAACAATGAAGGCAGCTGCACATTGTTCGAAGATTGACACAGTGAGTAGAAACCTGTGGTTTCCCTACCAGAAGGCTGTCCATGTTGAGACCCCTGACCCGCGGAGGGGCAGGCTCACTGCCAGCCCTTCAGGGAAATTCTGGATTCCGATACCAATGGCCAAATTTCTGATGGAACACAAACAATCAGTCACCCAACTTTTCTTTACAAGAAATATTATGAAATATTAAGCTGGCCACCAATGGTGCCATGATGAAGTGGGAAAACAAGAGTGAAGGTCTTCAGGCTGAAAGGACAACATTAGTATTTACTTTGCTGCTTTGAGTGTAAACTCATTGGTATTGCATGAAACCTTTTTTATTTTTGTAAATCTTAGGAATTTTGTGGATAATTTGTGTGCAACCTTTATGCTTACATCTGCATCAGATCTACGTTGTAACTTACGCCTTAACTGGAACCCCATTTTAACCCTACACCGCAACCTTCTACGTAACTTGACGTACACCTCCCAAGAAATGTAACTACATGTAGGGTGGATGCACACAATAACAACTTGAATGGTGAGGAAGGTTTCGGTGTAGGGATAAAAGGAGTTTCCAGTTACTGTGTAATTTATCACACAGATTTCCCAAATTTGAAACTTTTGTAATAATCAGTCGTCAGACATTGAAGCCAAACCAGAGTAAACTGTTCATTTGGCTAGCTTTGATGTGTCTCCCAGCACAGTGTCAAGGAGTAGATGGGCTGTTACTCCAGGAGAGCTGGATAGGGCCGCAGGTCCTCAACTCAATAAACAGGACTGGTATCTACTCCTTTGGCAAGGAGGAAAATGATGAGCTCTGCCAGAGCTCCAACAGGACAATGGTGTCAATGTCTCTGACCAAAAAAAAAAAAAAAATCAGAAAAAGACTTCATGAAGGTGGGCTGAGGGCCCAGCGTCCTCTACTGGGCCCTGTGCTCAATGCCCAGTGCCACGTAGCCTGATTGGCATTTGCCATTGAATACCAGAACTGGAAGGTCAACCGCACAGATCAGAGGAGGTTCACCCTGAGCTTGCTCCCAAGCTTCAGAAAGGGTCTGGATAAGCAGCGGGGACCAGTTTGGTTTGTTTGCCATGGGTCAGTGATGGTGTGGGGAGGCAGGTCCATGGAGCGGGACCCAGAAGTCCACAGGTTAGGCAAAGCCACCCTGACTGCTATTACGTATTGGAATGAAATCCTTGGACTCACTGTCAGACCCTACACTGGTGCAGTGGGTCCTGGGTTTAACAATATTTTTTAACAAGTGCTGCAGCCTGTGTTTAATCAGTATCTACACGTGTAGTTTAACTCTGGTTTATAACTGCTTTTGGTAGTGTGTGTAACTGAAACTGCAATCACACTGTTAGCAGATCAAAGTGTTACCTTGTTTCTATTTGAAAACAATCAGGTCTTTAACAATCGTAATGCCTTTTCAGATCCACAGATAAACATGCAGCTGCTTCAAGAGACGAGGCTGCTGGCTTAGAAAAAGTTTGCTGGGATCTCCAACTGTATCACCAGTACCAGAATATAACCACTAGGTGTCAGCAGCACACAACAGAGAACAGTTATGGGATTGCATGGAAACACACTAAAGTAATCAAACCCATCTTCAAAGGGGAACTTATTTCCAATCATTTATATACTATTACATTGTTGGATACTCACATTAGCCATAGCCAACATTTCAAATACTAAGGTTAGTTCTTTAAACGCTCATCTCAGCTTTGTGTGATATCAAGATGTGGGGATACCCTGATTGTGATTATTTCAGACACACAGCACTGAAGTCCCCTCGCTTGCTGTTAAAATCTTGAGTTTACGAGGAGCAGCCAATCAAAAGACAGCTCGTTGTAAAGGGAAATGACCTAAAACTGAGAACAAATTATAGACTATGGGTTTCTCCACCTTCTTTTGAACTGTGAATTGTGCAAAGCTCATAAAAACAATATGGAGCTAAAAATGAGCATAAGAAAAGCCAACCATCAGCTTCAGTATTAAACTCAACTATCTGAAGTTTTTAATGTAGTAACAATAACCAGTCAGAGAGCTTGTGAACAGATAACCTCAACCATAACTGTCTCCAGCTGCAATGACGGATAAAATGCTCAACAGCCAAATTAACAGACCAATCAATAAAGCAAGAATCCATTTTTCACAACTTCAGAAAGGCCGTGTGTTGTATTTGTTTCTCGGGTTTTACATCAGTCTTACCTGGCACTCTCAAAGGTAGCAGATGTTGTCTTTCCTACAGCTCCAAAACCAACACCTACTGCCAAGCCCTCTGCAGAGACACAAACAGTTGATCTTTGTTAGTCTATGTCCCTGGGCTTCTCTGTTACACAGGAATAAGAACAGTTTAAGAGGATGGATGAAAGAAGAACATGTTGGCAAACTGTAGATGATAACAAAATACGTGAAGAAAATCAGCATGGACAGAAAGTCTGTGTACTGTGAAAGAAAAATACTAGGTGCTGTCTTTTCAAACAGGAAACCGATCTATTAACAGCAAAACGCCTGTGGAGGTTCCCAGTCTGAAGGATGGTCTTGCTGTTTACAAACAGATTTCTATTATGAAACCTGCTATACGTGGATATGCAGCCCTTGTGGGATGGAGACTGTAGATTGAAATATGATTGCTGAACTGCTGATCTGTGACTGAGTGTAAATATAAGAAATTAGGTCTTGTGGGTTTTTTTTTCCCTATAAGTTGCTGTGAATTGTCTGCTTTAGATGCTACAGACAGTGAGGCTGTAGAAGGGGAAAGCCTCTTTATCTGTGCTGTGAGGGCTTCTTTAAAGTTGGGACCAGTGTGTACAGCCGGTCTGTCTGCCTCTCTGCACACTCTGAGCAGCAGCCCTCTCCTCTGATGTCCCATTTGTCTCATTTGTCATGCCTGCCACATATATTTAAAGTACACACTATTCAAACTGAAAGTGAAAAGGTCACAGGGTATCTATAATGAGTGTTTGTGTGTGTGTGTGGCCTGCTTCAAACACTGACAAGCAAACACATCCTGTCATGCCATTAACAGCTATGTTGTTACAAAGCTACAACCTGCTGATTCATAGTCGCTTTATTTATTTATTTATTTTCTTTATGCACAGCTAGGATTAAAAAAAACAAGGCAGGAACAAGAATCAAGGATAAAACTGTGCCTGGAGGAGGTTTGGACAGCACTTAGAATCACGTGTGACACACTGATTAAATTACAGAAACATTTAAAGCACCATTAACAAATGTTTTTCTTTTCTAATTTTTGCTGTGTTTGTTAATCCAACCTTTTATCTACAGACACAGCGCGTTACCTTCTTAATACTAGCTTGTTAGTAACCAAATTAATGGTTTTTAACAGAGTTCAGCCTAAATTGTACTTTGAGAGGGTCACAGAGGGTGTGATTAAAATAAAAGATAACATCATGGTTTCTGCTCTTTTGCCAACTTCTATTCATTTCTTTACATTTTATATATTAATTTAGAGCCCCTCCCTGAGCCTGGTTCAGCCGGAGGTTTCTTCCTGTTAAAAGGGAGTTTTTCCTTCCCACTGTCACCAAAGTGTTTGCTCATAGGGGGTCATATGATTGTTGGGTTTTTCTCTGTATGGGTTATTGAAGGGTCTACTTTACAATATAAAGGACCTTGAGGTGACTGTTGCTGTGATTTGGTGCTGTATAAATAAAACTGAATTGAATTGAAGTATGACTGAGCTCCAGGAGGCCTAAATTACCTCATGTTCTAATAAATAAGCTTTTCTTTTACAGTCCACGGTAACATTTATATTTAATTTTTTTTGTGTGCAAAACTCTTGAGCCACTTCTCATTTCTGTATATTTTGTTAGGAAAATGGGAAGCGCGTGCAGCGATGTACTGAAACAAACACATGGAAATACAGAATATAAGACAGAATTTGTACAATATTTAGGAGGTGAAAGTCAATATTTGGTATGCTCAGCTTTTTAGGGACATTAATACGCTTCTTTGGATGTTGGCTGCCTTTTGTTCTGTTCGCTTTCAGGATGATCCCACACTGCTTAAAAAAGTTGAGGTGCGGCCAATCCAGACTGATCGTGTTCCATTATGTCATTTCTCGTATGCTTTTACAGCACTGGCAGAGTTTTTGACATCATCATCATGCTGAAAAATGAAGCCGTCAGATGCTTTCCAGCTAGTATTGCATGGTTGAAAAAAATATTTCCTTTAATTTTAACCTGCATACCATGAAACATAACACATTTTCAGCTCTTTGGGGATCACCTCTTTGCTGCCAAAATACTGTTTGATGTTTGTCAGACTGTGTTTGCGAGTTGTCTGTCATTCGAGTTAGGCAAGTTTTTTTTATGTTCAGCTGATTCATAGGTCAGTGTTAAGTGGCTTAAAAACCAGGACTGAAAATGAGTGAGAAAAACTCTCAAAAGCCTGGAGAACTGGTGCTCAAGACACAACACAGGGTACTTCTAGTAATTTGTCTTGAAATCTTGAAAGAACAAAGTTTTCTGATCTTCCGTTGGTAATTTCAAAGGGTTTAAAACACTTTTTCTTCTAAAAGTATTTCACCTCTTGTATACAAAAACAAGTAGAATGTGAATAAGAGAGATAAATGAAGCAACAAGAAGATAAACTAAAGAGGGGAAAGCTAACACAGAGGCCAAAAAAAGTAACAGGATGTTTTTCTAGGAACCAGGTGTCCCTGCAAAACAGACTTCTCCAGCTGAGGTACCACTTCATCACAATCTAACACCTGTTATTACCTCTCATAACGACACAGACTAGTTCTTATCAACCTCCCGCTGCCTCATTACAGGCAGACACAGTGTAGTGGCATTATGGGGAAAAAACCACCCTTTGGGTACGCTGTGGGTCTGCTTCACTTAATCCTCGGAAACAGTCTGAAATGCTGAAGGGCCAGTAAAAAATCTGGCACTGAAAAACCTTCAACTGTGTTTGAATAAAACATAAGCTGTGAGAGTTTCACTGTTTGGAGCTGCTTGTGCAAGGCTAGAGGCACACTAGAAGTTTTCGAAATCAGCTGCTTTAAATACTAAGGAAATTACATCAGCTACTTGGATAACACCTAAATAATTAGGATGAGTTTCAGCATTGACACTGATTATTTGGCAGACTTTTGTCTGCTCTTTTGAATGAAGAATTAGTTTTCTGACAACAGCTGCTGACCTCTCGTCCTGCTTCACAGCTGAAGAGTCCACTGGGCTGGAAGCTTTTCTTCCAAAGCACAGTCCAGAGCTAGCAGGGGAGTGGTAAACACTCACACACCTGTCAGGTTTTATCCCTGAGCCCTATGTTTTACCGTCTTTGCTTGCATCTCGTGGCATTTAAATGCATACCTTGTGGATTGTTAAAATACTGTGGAGGGAAAAAAAATTCTTGTACCTTCCTGACGTCCTCCACAAATCAATTCTTAGAAGAAAGGCTGAGTAGGAATAAACTGCACTGTTTTATTTTATTGAGTTTTTTTTATTTATTCTTCGTTGAAATCTTTTGCCGTGCACAGAAAACAATAGGTCACCAACCTCGATCACCATGGAAATTGTGAATCATATGCTATGGCCTTTACAGTCACCATTCTGTGTCAGCTCACACTCTCCAACACTGCCATCGAACACTAAAGGAGGGAATATTTTCTGGAAACACGGCGTTCCTCCCCTCAGTTTAAATTCAGAGAACAGAGTTTTAAATAGAGAAACTATGAGAACGAGCAGTCAAACTGTTCATACAGACAATTTCTCACTCTATGGTGTTACAATCATACTGCTGAAAAACACAGTTAAACAAGGAACCTGGACAAAGCCATAAAGTCACAATATGTTCTTACTGTGCCACAGAGCTTTTGTTAAAAACCAAACCATTACTATGCTCGTTTCCACCTCCATAATTTTATCACTGGACTCTGTTAGAGTGGCTTTGAGTGATCCACAGTTTAATATGATTCCTATTTATCTCTTACTGGCCCTTGGTTCAGCCTTTCGGTTTCCTGCCTCCTTCCTTTAAAGATGCCAACTCTCATTTTAAAAAACCCCAACGTGTCTGCGTTACTTCAATCATTTTTTTGAAGTTAATTGGTGACAGAAAAAACGAATTGCATTTAAAAAAAGAATAGAAAAAATTTTAAAATGTATTTACATTTTCAAGAAATAATATTATATTTCGAATATATTATTTTTGTTTTTTGCTTTGTTCTTTTAGAATATAATTGAAGAGGTTTTCTAGTGCAGTGAAATTTAGATAAGGGTACGCTTACATACGTTTACTATGATTACACAAACACTATGTAGGAGTAGGTAATGAATAATGGGGGTATTAAATAACTGGATATGTATAACTTGAGCTTATTACATAACATTATACTACAGTATATTTCTCACTATGTAGGCAGCTCATTCTCTTTCTCATGACAGCACTTCCTTTAGAGACACGTTCTGGGTTTAACTTTAAAGAAAGGTGGACGTGAAATGTAAAAATTGGGTCAAATAAAATCAATAAAATGCTATTTATTGCCAATACAAAGGCAGAAGAGTTTTAAACATGGCTTTAAAGATAAGACTTTTTTTTATGAAAGTTTGACCTTATTTGACTTTGAAGAAGACGTCAGAGGTCAAATGAGGTAATGTGATGTTTAGAATCCTCATATATCATTTCCTAAATGCCTCAATGTTGTCAATACAAACGATGGCAGTAAGAAACATAGCGTCAAATAGCTTTGTGTGGCATTATCAGGTTGACCTTCAGATCAATCTATGGACCTCTAAGGAGAGGTCAGAGGTCAAACGTAACATGATATTTTACATTTTTATGTGTTTGTTTTCTATATGTCGAAAGTACTCACCACATTCAAGCATGATCATTTCTGAGGCTTTTTGTTAAATACTGACCAATAAATCATTACGCTGACCTTAAATATCTTGGTTTCTTGGCTCTCTGCTGATATATCCTTTCTCTTCATGCTGGAAGTTGGAAATAAACATCCCAGAGTCTCATTCCCTCTCACCCACTGCATTTACACAGATGTGTGTGGAAAGCCATTATGTGCAGCTATGATACATTTGTGCCACACAGTTAGCTTCTTTGTGAGTGGACAGATAGGTGCGAGTCCAATGTTGACTCATTTTGTTCCTTTCTTTAAAAATGTCAAATGTGGCTTCTATATTTGGTTCTAATGGCTCTAAAGATCATTTTCTAGGTGATTTAGTCATTGTGTGCGGTCCGGTTCACTGGAATAGTCTTACCCACATCTGCTTCTCTACTGCTTATTCTTTTCCCTTTCCTGTT